TGAGAATAGCTGAATAAAAACACTGAAGTGCTAGATGAAATGTAGGCCTGGTCACCATCGTGTTCATCAAATTCAGAAATCCTGTTTGATGGAAATATTTTCTCCAACAATAGAATACAGAGAGGTCTTGTGGAACTTGCTGTCCTACCCTCACTGAGTGCACTCTGGTAGGATGGGGAGAAATCTGAGCCAGTCACTACTTCTGTCGCTTCTCAGGACATGAAGAAGCTGGGTTGTTACCTGGCTTCTCTGAGATACTTTCCTCACATGAAAAATAGATCTAAAGTCATCTAATGAACACCTGTTGGGAATAATTTCCAAGGTTTCTTCCACATTTAAAAGGTAATAATTATGACAGGATGTCCAACAGAAAGTCCAAATTATATTTAGGAGCCTTTCCCCCATATTACCTTACATTTTTATTATATACAATTAGGACACTCATAAATACCAATTAAGAGTCCATCATGAACAACTGGTTGTAGATTATATAAAAGAAAAACTGTGTTTATTCCCAGCAAACTTAACATTAAGGCAAATATTTTATATTTGCATATACCTCTACACATATACCTATACTACATAGTGTAACTACATCATCTGTATAAATGTAGATAAGTGTTTATTGAATAGCTAACAAGTAACCAATGACACATATGCATTAATGAAGACAATCAGAAAAGGATCTAAGTGCAAAGTGGCCAAAGTGGACATGTTTTACAGATGGCTAATTCTTCCATTCTAGGAAACACATGTTCTGTCTACATCTATGCCAGATTTTATGTCATTTGCCTTTGCACTATCAGTTAAAAAGCCATGGTATTAATGTACTTAAGTCCGGAAGATACTAAACTGCTTCAGAATTTGAAAATTAACTGAATATTTGATAATATAAAGAACTCAATTGATTTTTTTCTTTATTGATTAAGGTATTACATATGTGTCCTTATTCCTCCCTTGCCCCCCCACCCTCCCACTCATGCCCTCACCCCACTGGTGTCTGTGTCCATTGGTTATGATTATATGAATGTATACAAGTCCTTTGGTTGATCTCTCCCCCACCCTCCCCCCTACCTTCCCTCTGAGGTTTGACAGTCTGATCAATGGTTCTCTCTCTCTCTGGATCTGTTTTTGTTGATAATATTTTAGATAATGATAATGGTGTTTTGGTTAGTTTTTCAAAATTACTTACTGAAATAATTATGGATGAAATAATGTGACCTGCTTCAAAAACAATTCAGAATGATGGAAGGGATAAAAACAAATAAGGGTATAGATAAGATTGGCTATGAGTTGATCATTGTTGAAACATAGGAGGTTATTATATTACCCTTTCTGCTTTTAAGTATGTTTGGAATTCTCCGAAATCAAATAATAAAACCCCTTCTGATGTAAGCTCAAAAGAGTACACCAATCTTCCAATTAACAAAGCTCCTATGTATTAGGGTCAGCCATGTTGTTTATATTGGTAATGTTTGCTGACAACAAAAGAGGGTACAGGTAAACATGTTCTTCTGAATGTCAACATCTGACTAACAAATTTAGAAGGTTTACATTGTCTTATCATGAAACTTGTAGAGTAAGTTTAACGGGCTGATTGTTTATTTTTAACTTCCTCATCAAAAGACCAACTTATGAAGATAACTAGGTAAAGCTTGTCACTAACAAATGGGTTCAATTTATTTTACATTATTTTAATTATTTCACAAGTGATGAGCAAATTTTACAACAAGCTTGGTCAGAATGAAATTGAAAAGTAGGACTCTGCCATTTTTTCCCCAGAAATACGGATTTTAAGCATTTCTGGATAAATACATGTAGTAAAACATAACATTAAGATGATGGAAGGAATCATCAGGTAAAAGTCGCTCTCCATTTATCTTCAAGAAAAATTCAGACCTTTGGCAGTGTAACATTGGTTATCAGGTATTTCAGATATGACAATAAAGTACATATAATTTCCAATCTGAAATAGTCTCTATGTTGCCCTCATAATATACACCCATCCCAGAAATTCAAATATTTTCATAACCAAATTATACAGATGGTTTCTTACAGGCATAAGCAGGAAAATCCTTTATCAGATTATGTAACTTGCTTGTAATCTGAAGAATATCATCACTGTATTTAGTGCAGTGGGGAATGAGGTGTCATTTATTGAAACCTACTTCTCCATGCCTCTTTATCGGATAATTTCTATTTGTCATTTGGGTTCAATGGAAATATCACCTCCTTGAGAAAACTTCCTTCGATCTCCCCCTTACTAGACTGGAGTAGAATTCTGTACTCCCCACTTCATAACACTTTTCAAAATTATATTTATGTAATAAATACGTGATTTTTAAAAAGATATGTCTTTCCCACTAGACTACAAGGTCCAAGAGGTCAGAGGTCATGTCAGTCTTGCTCACTACTGTATTTCCAGTCCCTGGTGTTCTAATTATCAAGCCTGGCTGTACCTGGATCATCTGGAAGCTTTATAAAAGACTGATGCCTGAACTCCACTACTAGAGGTTCTACTATAATTGGTAGAAATGGGGTGGAGGACAAAAACTGATAGTTTGTAAAAACACCAAGGGGATTCTGATGGGCAGTCAAGGCAAGGATGGGATACCTTTTTTCTGCCAATGGCCATTTAGATATTTATAACATCATCATTCCAGGGCCATACAAAATTATCAACTTAAAAATCAGCCTGCTATATTTGATCAAACACTTAATTAACTCACCCCTAATGTAGGGCCAGATCAAATGATTTTGTGGACATTCCCCATTCCTGGTATAGAGTCTTGCCTAACAGAATAGATTCAATAGATAAATATGCAAGGTCCTCTAAATACATCCAAAGACTATGGACTATGTATATCATCTGTTGTCATTTCTACTTGCTAAAACTACAAAATAATTAATGACATTAACAGGAATTTTGATGTGGCATCAAAACAGAGATATTTGGGTTTTCCTAAAGATCAAACTAGAAAAGAACAGAATCAGCTGGAAAATACTCCAACTCATGTCAAAACTGTGCTATAAAGAAATAATTGTGACCTCTTCATTGTACTTCCTTCTGTGTCAGGACTGTTCTCATGTTACTTCACTTACTCCTGGAAACCTAATGAAGTATCACTATGCCTTCTTTTATATAATCTATTTGTCATCTCAGTCCACTGCCATTGCATTTGCCAAGGTCAACAATACCAGTGCTAAATCTGCAGGACACCTCTTTATCTTATTCTTTTAAAATCCTTGCTGATCACTCCTTTCCTCTTTGCTTTTGCGACATTATGTTCTCATTCCCCTCCTAGCTCTCTGAATACACCTTCTTCTTCTCCTTTGCAGGTTGCCCTGTAAATATCCCTCCTCAGGATTCTATCTAAGTTTGCTCCTTTTTTAAATTTTTGTGGGTTAAAGCATCAACTCCCAGGAACCACCTTTATGAAGATCATATTCAAATACTTACTCTTTAAATATCTATTGAATATCTTCACTTCATGCCCAAACAGAAGAGAAAAATCATTTTTCCCCTCTAGGATTCCCTAAACTAAATGATGCCATCATCCTAACCAGCTGCCAAGGTCGTATTCCAGTTTCTGCACAGCTCTGGAATCCATCCCTTCTCCACATCCACACCTCCATGCCAGGCGAAATGCCTGAATTGCCACAGCAGCCTTCTAAGCAGCTTCACTGCTCCAGGCTTACATCCATTCACTACATGGAAGACAGTCGTCTCTTAAAAAATAAACCTCATTGGGTCTTTCCCTTGTTTTGAACCTTTAACACATTAAGCGCCCTGTCAGTCACCGGTGACTGACACTATACTTTCCATCCGGAAGACAAAACAGGCTGGGCGCTTAACGTGTTAATGGCTCCTACAACACCTTCTGGATCAAGTTCAAATTCCCTGAAGGAGCTAACAAAAGTCCACCCAGGACCCAGTGCCTCCTAACTTGAGCCACTCTAATCATGCTCTAAGCTCCAGCCACATAGGATTCAGCAGCCTTCTTTTCCTGAAATGGTTTTTATCTATTTCTTCTTCCCCACTTCTATTTCAATCAGCCAACACAGACACCCTACAGATCTCAAAACATGTGGCATTTTATTTAAATCTTAGAATGTCCCTTCGTGACCTCAAAATTCTGGATCAAATGCTGTTCCTAAGTGTTACTACAGCACTTGGAACTTCCCAGGCTTAGAAAGTAGCACACTGCCTTCTACTAGTCACTTTCCCTGTCCCTCTCCCTTGCTATTTTGGAAGTCTCATGTGAGCCAAGCTCTTGTCTGTTGTACAGACTGCTGTGTCCTGAGCACCCAACAGTGGCTGGCACATAGCATTCAGGACATTCAATGCTTGTGAATGCAGCTGTGACTTCTTCCTTCAAACTTACCTCAGAGTCTCTGCAAAGGTTGGTCCTTTTTTCAGGCTGGAGTGGGCCCAACAGGCTACTTCAAATCCTTCCAGCTCTTAGCTAACATGGAGCATTTTCTAAGACACCCTCCCAAACCAGCCAACTAAAGCATTCTCCTCAGTTCCCTTCCCTCATAGTACCATTATGTTTTCTTTGTATCACTTGGCAAACATTTGTATTTGGTTAATTACATGCTTTCTTCCAGGGACCATGTCTGTTTTATACTATATTAGCATAGAGGCTGGTACATAGCAGGATTTAACATATATTTGGAAAAAATAACAAGTGGACTTAATAGCTTTCATCAAGGGCTAATATCATTTCGTACATCATGTTGCTTCTTACAAAAGTTTAACGGTCCCCCTAAACCAAATCTTTGTCAATACTGCCAGTCAACCATAAAAATAGGCATAAAGTTAAAGAATTTTCTGTTCTGTTACTCGGGTATAAAGCTAAGCAGGGGTAAACAAATAAACAAACAAAAACCACCGATACACATATCAAGAAAAATAACTAATCATTCTTTTCCTTTAATCATTAAGTGTTAAAGTGAAAGTATGAAGTGGTATATGCACTGGAAGAGAGTGGCCTTGCCTTTCAGGTCTTGTATGTAGCCCTCTTTGCAGCTGTGCATGAGCTGAAGGATCCATCTGTGCTGAGCTCCGATACACTGCCAAGCAGGGTCACCCGGTGCATGAAGGTCAGACAGGTACCTGAAAAAGCAAGGTCAAGGCTGACCAAGTAGTCTTCCTCTACACAAGCCATAAATAAGGATAAAAGGAAAGCTAGCATATTTCAAAATCATCACATTTTTTAAGAAAACCTAAAATTTTATCAATTAGTAAAGCAGTTGTCAGTATTAGTCTCTAATATTTAGTTCTCTAAAATTAGTCTCTAATATGAAATACATCCAAATTTCTTTTCATGAAGTTAACAAACAATAAAGCTATATTTTATAAGACTAGGACTTTATAAAAAGAAATAAACATGACAGAGACCATTTACGATGATCCAATATACTTAGGGAGAACTTACCTTTATATGTATTTACACTGACTTCCCAGAGTGCTGCTATTTAGTTTTGTCATTATATAAGCACAGGTGGGAGCCAGCAGAGGAAACCCGGGGAATATTTTTTCGATTTCAGTTGGTTTTTATTCCTTTCTGGCCTGAAACATAGCCACTAGATGGCACAATGACACTGTTTTCTAGACAGTCTTAACAAGGGTCAACTGAAACTTAAAGCCATTTTATTATATGAAGAGATTTGGTGACAACAAGCACTTACCTCTAAAGTCTAAATCCTAATCCATGACTCAGAAAATATTTCTCTAGATAGCATAGATGGGAATTTTTCATAGATTTAATGTAGTTCTTAAAATATTTAAAGTCTTTGTACCTAAAATATCTAAGTCCAGATGGACAACTGAAATACATTTAAGTTGAAAAAAATCTGCTTAATATCATTCAAGATTTGGCACTCTGCCCTCACAAAATAAATATAACAAGTTAAATCAAATTAAATCAATCTCATAAGCTGAATTTATTGTCTTAAAATTACTCTTAGACCATAAGCTATCTGTTGTCTTAAGGTTAAAGATTTTTGTTCAATGACAAATTTTAATTAATGGTTACAAGCTGTGACCTCTAGCCAAATCTTAATAACTCAGAGATCATCTGATGCCTCTCTCCCATTTCCAGGACGGTATGTCCTTACTCACAGACATCTCAATTAGTAGCTAATTAAAGGAAAAACTTTTTATAGTAAGTTAGCAATGAATAAATGTTGAGATGAAATCTGACATCACATTTAGGACCTCTCCGCCCTCACCCTGACCTTCCAGGCTAATGGAGACAGCCTGGTTTCTGAGAAGAGCTGGGCATTTATTTGTCCTGCTAAGGAGCCCCTTAAACAGCATGGCTCACACTACAGTGGGCTGCCCAAGAGACAGCCCTGAGAGTTGGCCATTCTCCTTCTCCCTGACTCTATTTACAGTCTACAAAGGTGCGTCTGTAGGAGAAAGTGACAAATCAGTTAACAGCATTTTAGAAGAAAAACCACAATCTAGCAAATTACATTTAGCTTGGCCTAAATAATTCATTTCAAAGATTTCAAAACCCAATCAGATTCTTTTCTCATAAGGCTTTCCTCTTTTATTGACTAGAATATAAATATGATAAATAGTATGTTGTGTCATTTCTGAAAAAAACATGTGATTTTATTCTTTCTTGCTAGGAAGACTTTGTCCGACAAATTCGCATTCTCCTTAGATAGGTTTATTTCGCCTCCAAAAACTTCTGCAACACTTTCTCCTGACACTTTCACTCATATAACAACCTCAGATTTGTATTAGCTACAAAATACTAGTATAGGAATATCCTTTTAGAAAATAGTTGCTTCCCTTTAATTTTTTAAAATTTTATTTATTTATTTCTTTATTAAGGTATTACATGTGTGCCCTTATCCCCCCATTGCCCCCCACCCCCCGCTCGTGCTCCCCTAGTGTCTGTGTCCATTGGTTATGTTTATATACATGCATACAAGTCCTTTGGTTGATCTCTCCCCCTTACCCCCACCCGCCCCTACCTTCCCTCTGAGGTTTGACAGTCTGATCGATGCTTCTCTGTCTCTGGATCTGTTTTTGTTCATCAGTTTATGTTGTTCATTATATTCCACAAATGAGTGAGATCATGTGATATTTATCTTTCTCTGACTGGCTTATTTCGCTTAGCATAATGCTCTCCAGTTCCAACCATGCTGTTGCAAATGGTGAGAATTCCTTCTTTTTAACCACATCCCTTTAATTTTTAAACTTCTAAATAGGAACACAGATGATCCATTACAAGAATCTTTCTTGAGCGAGAAAAATCAATAAGCATTTTTTTGTTGAGTAACTTTTAAAATTGTAAGTCTCTTTAATATAGTCACTAGGTCCTTGCAAAATTTAATGACAATCCTCTTTCTATTGTCTTATTAATGGGTATTACATTAAAAGTTTTATAAAGAAAAACATGTTCTCTCAGGAATTCTAGTGTTTTAGTTTAAAATTACAACCTGTGCTAGGCTTTTTCCTTGGTAAAATGATGTAATCCAGTAAGTTTCTTCTTTTCTTTTAGTAATAAGTAGATTAAAAGTAAGTACTACTTTCATTTCAAAAATATTTGTTTAGAAAATGACAGTTTATTGCCATTTCTTTTAAAGCTGCGTATTAAAGGACACTTTGTAAAAGACATTTTTAAAGGAAAAAAAGTTAAAATATGTTAATGATAATGAGCATAAGCTCAATATTTTATAAATTAAGACGTTTTTAACCCCATTCTGACATAATTTTTAACAATTACCATGGATAGGTTCATACTGACATGGGAAAAAGTATATGCAACTTTCCTTCTTGCTAAAAAAATGAAGATCAAGACAGAATAAGAAGAGTAAAAATAAGGAGTAAAAATCTATTTTAATTAGATAAAATAGAAAACAAAAGACAATACAGTAATAATCTGATTTTCACCCATATCATGCATATCATGTATAACTTCAATTATTAAAGCCAATAGAGATGTATTTTTGTTGATGATAAAGCTGTCTCTACCCCATGAGGTACTCATAGTACCTGTCATCATAGATTCCAAAGTCCAACAGATATCTGACCTGAATCCTGTTATTATTAAAAAGAATAATAGCAGTTCTATGCTCAATGTCTTCTCAAAACATCAAAAATAAAATAGTGATTAAAAAATAAACAAACTACTGGACATTGTTATTGACATTCTTGTTCTTTATCCTTTAAAGTAACAGGTTGAAAGCATTTAAATAGACCATTTAAAAGAATCTTTTTAAAAAATATCTACCATCTTTTAAATGCTATTCAATAGGTTAACCAGTCATAAGAACTGTTAGTTATCTATATATAGTAATTCACTAGATAAAGAAATCATACTCAATACGTTTAACACATCACTATCAGCAAATTTAATAGAATAAATGTCAACAATAAAATAAATACAAAGCATAATTAGAGAACACAGACAAAACACTAACCAACTGTATCCTGGACACGACAATTAACATTCCTACAACTCTGTTTCTTTATATGTGTTTTTTTTAAAAAAAAAAGTACCTAGATAACTGATGTGTAGTTTATTTCTACAAGCCAAAAAATTTCCAAATACATTATTTCTTATGAAGATAGCCTAGAGAAAAGCAAAGATAGGCTCTGAAAGCAGACATATAGGAGTCCTAGTACTAGCCATGTGTGCTGAAAAAGCAATAAAATCTGAGGTGCCCTGGCTGGGTGGCTCAGTTGGTTGGAGTGTTGTCCCATACACCAAAAGGCTTTGGGTTTGATTCCTGGTCGGGGAACATATCTAGGTTGTGGGTTCCATCCTCAGTTGGAAGCATATGGGAGGCAACTAATCGATGTTTCTCTCACATCAATGTTTCTCTCTCTCGCTCCCCGCCCCCCTTTCCCTCTCCTCTCTCCCTCTCTTCCTCCCTCTAGAATCAATTAAAAACAAAACAAAACAAAACAGACATATCCTCAGGTGAAGATTAAAAAAACTATCTGAAGCTCAGTCTCCTAACCAGTATACCAGGTATAATACACATGCCCCAATGTGGTGGCTGGGAGGATTAGAAATGATAAACAGCGCATCTAGCATGGTGCCTGGGCACACTGCAGATGAGGGGTAGTGGCAGAAATCAATTTTAGTATTCTCTACTCCAAAAAGTCTCCTTTCCCTTTCCTGTTGGGCAACACCAATGCTGACTATGACAATGGCTTATACTCCTACTGTGCTCCTGCATCACTAGAAACAAGGAGGACTGCATGTGGACCCTTGTACTTCCACAAGTGAAAACAAAGCAGCAGCTTTCAGACCAGACCATCTTTCCAGACCTGGGAATTATTTTCAATGGTCACATACTAACAACAGCCAAATGCATAAAAATATGTAGTCTATAATCACTTTATAACTACCTAATATTCAATAAACTTCACTGAGAGAGAGGGTATTTGGTTTGAAAAATAATAGCTTATTCTGAGAACAAAGGTCACATTCAAAATATGACAGCAGAAAATAAAGTTATAGTTTTAAATTATGGATATAACAGATTAAATTTATATGCTTTGTCTCCAAATCCTGATATAAACACTATATATATATATATATATATAACATACAAACACACACACACAATTTATTGACTACGTATTATGTGCCTGGTGCTATATTAAATTCTTAAATGTATTCTTGATTATCTTTGCAACTAAGACATAGATTGTGTTAACATGTCCATTTCAAAGATGTGTTAACATGTCCATGATAAAGAAAACTCAAGTTACCCAAAGTGAACAGCTAGTTCCCATTAAGCTACACTGCTTCTTTCTATGGCCTTCTTGTCATACCCTGTGATGTCCATCATTTTCAATATTACTGCTACTATTTTTTTTTAAGTTCCAGACTTTCTTTTCAACACTAAAACCTTTCAGAATTTTCTTTACTGCTGAACTATGGCCCACTCTTGTAGTATGGAGAATTTCCTCATACAGGGAACTCCTCCTGCCTGTGGCCTGTGGGTGCCCACCTGGTGCAACCATTTTGCTAGATTAGGTAAGCCCTTGTTGAGCAGGAGGAAGAGGTGACTAAGCAATGAGGCTACTTTTTCTTTCCCCAAATACATAGGAAGAATTTTCTTGCCCTTAAAGAGTAAGCACTTGCAAATATATTAGTATACAAAAGAGTTTTGGTGTTCTGCAGTAGGTACTTCTAAATGTTTTCCCTTTGATTATTTCATCAATCTCCTAATTTTCCCCAAATTAGCTTTAAGAGTTAGATGACATATCCAGTACTATACAGATATATGTGATTTGTGAAAATCCTTGCAAAAATTTTACCTTATATAACGTTTCTGGTCATGTAAGGTCGATGGTGTCTCAAGCAATTTGTCCAGAAGTAATTCTCTTAAAGCTTCAATCCGTGTTTCTACTTCAGCATAATCTATTTTTAAAAAGGTACAAATATACAAGATTTACAGGATGGAAACTTAAGATCACATTACAGACAGTAGAACAGTGGCTGCCTTGAGGGTTATAATGGTGAATTGAGAAGAGGCTCAAGGGAACATTCTGGAGAGATGAGAACATTCTATCTGGGGTGTGGGTTACAGCGGTGTGTGCATTTGTCTGTGCATTTAACTTAATATAAATTAACTATAAGAAAAATAAAATCAAGTTTTCTGAGTCCTTATGGAGTTGGGATTTACAAAGTTAATAAAGCCCTGTGATATTTCTCCTAGTTGATAAGGCATTGCCATAGGGTATTTTAGGCTTTTCTTATTGTTTTATTTTCTGTACCTGGCATTAGAGATCATTTCAAAAGTTGTTTTGTTTACTTTAATGTAGGGTTAGAATTCAGAAATATATCACTCTTTCTGAAGAGGGAAGATTAAAATGTAGGTTCCCATTTCTAAAAAATATCTATAATTGACTCTTTCCAATGAAAAATAATAATATAATGATGGTCAATAAGTAGCAAAGAACATCTAAGTCTAACCAATCCTATAGCTGTGGTTGCTCATTTTCACTACATCTTAGTAAGAAAAGCCATATGTTATTTTTGAGGTAATAGTTTTACATTTAAAAAGATCACCATATCAATAAAAACTAAAAAGGATGTAACATTCTTTGCAGAATACATCCCACATTCTTTCTGTGAAAGGAAAGGAGAAGATCTAAAAGCAATAACAAGCCTTACATTTCTTGAAAACTTGCACCTCTGTTTTTCCAAAGAGTGACTTGGCCTTTTCATAGTCATTAATGACCACATCATAATCACCCTTTAAAATAAAAAAAAATATTTTGGAGACTGTCAGCAAAGTACAATGAAGACATATGGTTAAGATAAAAAACATCTTAACAACACTTTAAAATTTATGATATCTATAACCATCAGTATATAAATACATACTCTACCTTTTGAATATTCCTTTCAATATTTAGAGGAAGGTTGAAAAGAAATTTAAATCGCTGGAGGACATTGAGTGCATTTCTAGTGGAATCTGCCTTGTCCTTTCGACCTAATACTTCTTGAAATAATGTATCTGCAGTATTACTTGCTCCTATTTTAAAAGAAAAAATTCAAACTTAGATAAAAATTGATTTTATTTAGAAAAGTATAACTGGACAAATGAAATAAAATGTCAGATTGTTATTGAAGCTTTACACTAAAACTCAATAGACTTTTTTTCAAACATTAGCTATAAGGGAGATCTTTCATGGTTTGCTAAAATACAATTTCCATTTTGCCTACTAAGTCTTTTCTTATGTTAACAATTGTATCCAATTAAAAATAAGCATATTTACCAGGCTCACATAAATTCTTCAATGTGAACCTATATTTTATTTTAGTCACTCTTCTAAATTTTATAGCAATTATAGGCCAGTTGGATACTTCATTAATTCAGACAATAGGTTAAAACACACACATATATACATGTGCACACTCACGTACACTAGTTAAGTTCCATGGAATCAATATCTACATATGTGGTAATACACAAAACAAGAAAAGTATTTTACAGAAAAGTGTTCAAAAGAAATATTTCAGAACCAATCCTATTTCTTGCTAAAATTACCTCTTTGTATAGCAGGCACAAAAAATTACATAAACATTAAAATGACAAATTTTAACATATCATTAATCAATATTTCTTAAATCAGCTAATTTTTATATTATACACAAACTAACCTAAAAGACCTCAAACTATATGAATCACTGTAATGAAAGAGTTGCTTTATCTAAAGTGAAATTTACTGTGTTCAAAAATAGTTAAGCTTTTTCAACTTACGAATTATTTTTAATTAGCCACAAGGGGAGAAAAAGAATAAAGTGTTTTCAGCTGTTTGATCATTGCACATAAAAAGTTTCTACATTATCTGGTCTAGTGACTATACTTTAAGCAAGATGAAAAAATTACCTCAGCCTCACTGGGTGGCTTGCATGCCACATTCTCCACTCCACACTGTGGGTGGGCTGATCCTGTTAGTCATCTTTGTAACATAATTGTTTTATCTAAATATTGTTTAAATTCTGTTGAAATTATAAAAACCTAATATAAAAACTTTGTTTTGTCAAAATAGCTGCTTTCATCACATTCTATTTAATGTCCAATACTAAATTTCTGCTATACGATGAGGAAAACATACTCTCTTCTTGCCACCAAACCACATGCTGGTGGTTAAAAGAACATTCCAAATCTGATTAGAGTTAAAACTTTTTCCTTCAATGAAAATTATTATTTATCATATAAAAATATAAACTTCATGAATTGAGGCTAAATGAATAGATATATGAAAGAGATTAAATAGTTTTAAAAGGTTGATTACCTATATGTGAGCTGTGGATACTAAATCCCTAAGCACTTTTTTAATATACAATGAAGAAATTTACAGCAAAAAGTATGACAGTTCAAAATTAGATTTTTCTCATCTTATTTTAAAGATATTAAAAGATACAAACTAACAATTTTAACTCCTCTAGAAAGCATGAAAAACAAGTACAGGTAGAAAATCCACTAATAATTAAATAAAATATAAACATTTTATAGAGAAAAATTTGTAGGCAGAAATTGTAAATTATAATTTCTATACAGAAATGTATATATATATATATGAAGAATTTTAATTTATGCACACAAAGAAATTGTGAATTATAATCTTAATTTATAGATAATTTCCATCCATGAATTTTTATTCTGTTATGAATTTTACTGCACTCACAATAAAATATTGGGAGTTCATAATTCTTTGATAACTGGACAATCATATCTAGTAATAAAATAAATGAGAGCAGTGAAACCGAGATTTGTGCAAGCTGATAAAAATTACCAGCAGTTCACAAAATGCATTTTATGTCTCGTTCTCTAGAGCCACTAAGAAAATGAAACTGGATGGGAAACACACAATGTTGCATTATAAAGTTGTACACCTGAAATTTACATAATGTTATTAATCAACTAGAGGCCTAGTGCATGGAATTTATGCATGGGTAAGGTCCCTAGGCCTGGCTGGCGATCGGGGCCAATCAGGTTCCCTGCCTCCCTGCCTCCCTGCCTCCCTACCTCCTCCTTCCCTCAGCCCTCCGCAGCCGCCACTAGTCGCCCACTATGTTCCACACTGCCCCCTGCTGGTCAGCACACATCACAGCGAGCGATTGAACTCTGGTCTCATGGTTGAACTCTCGAGGGGACACTTTGCATACTAGCCTTTTATATATAGCGATGTTACCTCAATACATTAACATTTTTTTAAAATAAAGAAAATGAAACTACTAAACTCAGCAGTGTCCACACGCAAATGACACCACAAATAAGCCAATTAGTCAGCCATCTTAGAACAATCCCCCGCTGTAGCAATCCTACACACCCTCACCTATACATCCAACTTTTAAGGCACCTGGCAGGGGTTTGAACATCCAGGGTGTAACCATAGAACAAATCTAATTCTACCAGCCCTGGGCAAGTCTAGACCTGGAAATTGGTCCTTTCTTAACATAAGCTACCTGGAGAGTGGCTGTCATTGTCTCAGTTACAAATGTACCCCGAGAACTAATAGCAATGCTGCTATAATAACACTGTGGCTGCCACCATTATAGTGGGCTGACTGAACAATAAAATTTTCTTCAATGTAAGATGGGACAACATGGATGGACTTTCAAGACATTATGAGAGTGAACTAAATAAGTCAGATATAGAGAAAGACAAATACTTCATGGTATAACTTAAAAATAGACTCTAAAATAGGTGAACTCATAGAAACAGAGAGGAGAATGGTGGTTACCAGGGGCTGAGGGTTAGGGGGCAGGGGAAATGGAGAAATGTTGATCAAAGTACAAACTTCCAGTAAGAAAATGAATACGTTCTGGGGATCTAGTTAATAATATTGTATTATATACTTGAAAGTTGCTATGAGTAAATCTCAAATGTTCTCACCACAAAAAAAAAGAAACAGAATTCTGTGACATGATGGAGGTGCTAGCTAAAGCTAAGGCAGTAATCATACTGCAATATAAAAGTGTAGCAAATCAGCATGTTGTATACAATATTACATGTCAATTGCAGTTCAATAAAGCTGGGGGAAAAGATGGGAAGAAAAGTCACTGCAGCACTTCACCCTAACCAATCAAACTCATTCCTTCCCATTCACCTATATCTTTAACAATGAAAAAAAAATAACAAAAAACAAAAAATTTTCTTTGTGCCAGGAACTACTATCATATAGAAAAACTAGTCATGTAATTCTAATGCTGTCCTACAATTTCAAGCATGTCTGTTTAAAGCAAACATGCTTTCTCTTATTTTGAAGTGACTTATTGGTCCTTTTTATGGCACTGACACCTAAGACAGTATATCACAGAAGTGATTTTTAACCTGTGGTCTCTGCTTGATGTGAGTTGAGGGGATTGTGGGGAGGATGCAAAAAGTGCCCTACCCACAAAATACACAAACACACACACACACACACACACACACACACACACGCAATATATACCAGGATTAGGCAAGTTAAATGAGATTAGGAAACATTAAAGTATCTGGTAATTTAAGGTAACTTAAAAATGTAGACTTAAATTCATAGTAAAACAAAGACCACAATGAGACATAACAACATATTTATTGTATGTGTCTCAGTTTCTGTAAACAGACAGCAAAAAATGGTAAGACAGGCTGTCATGTATAACATAATGATATTACATGAATAGTATCATTACCAATGGTCAATGCTTGTTTACAGAGCCATTTCGGATACTGGAATTATATAGCACCACATGAAGTACACAGAATGGAATCTTAAAGAGGGGATGTTGGCTCATACTACCCATCTCTTTTCAACTCCCATTCAGTAATGTCACGTTGGTAGCTTGAAATCAAACATGATGGGAAAATTTGCACATTGGAAATGCTAATATTAGGGTTAGTTTTCTTTTTCCTTTTTGGCATGCCAGTTGTTAAACAATTACCATTATAACAAGTAAAAATCAGTTCCTTATTCACAAACTTTACTCTGATATTCCTCAGTGTTTCAAGTCCTTAGCTTTCTTCTATTAATTTTACACATAGTACTTAGGATGAAATTATTCAGTCCTGTTCATTGAACTACCATCTCTACACTGCTGAGTCCCAAATCTATATCTTATGTTACGTCTGTTAGTGTAAAACTAACTTTTACACATATTTTAACTACACGTACAATAATTTTTTTTATGAATTCGCCCATCACAAAGAAGTCCTTTATTCTGAGCAATTCCAAAGATGAATACCTGTTTTCCTGGGGGAGACAGTTCAATCATTCAGCCCTCACTGATTTAAAGGGAAACTATGAGAGCATTTCTTGTGACACCCTATGGGACCAACTTAGTCCCTGAAGATTTCCCTTTGAATGAACCCGGACAGCAGAGCTGAGAAGGACAATATCAGAAGCACATCAGTTTTAGGGGGCTTGGAGCACAGGAATAGGACCCTGAGTCTAGGCAGATGGTTGGTCAGGCTTCATCATAGAGGACAGTGGAGAAAAGATTACTGGGTGGACAATCAACTCTTACCCCCTTAGTTTAACTGTCTTTGGGAAGAGCTAAGGAAGTGGAATGGAAAAAAATGAAGATCTCGTGGAGGGAGAAAAAAACACTTTAGCATCTATGGGTCCTTTATAACCTAAAGGGAGTTTGGAGAAGCCTTTGTGGGTAGATAAACATATACTACACATGTAATATCTAGCACTTACTCTATGCTAGGTGCTTGTCTTAAAAGTTTATATTAATTATTCTAAATTCTTATTCTAAAAACATATATTAATTGCAATACATTTAAATTTACTCATGTCCCTGTAAGATAAGCACTATATTTATCCCTATTTTATAGTGCAGGCAACTGAAAACACCGAGAGGTTCTTCAACTTGCTCATTGTGGCATAGCTAGGAGGTACTGAGAGAGAAAAAGATATTATTGGGTACAACCCTCAGGAGTCTCAAACTCAACATGTTATAAATCAAACTGAATTTTTTCCTCTCTACTTTTCTCCTCATGCCCCAAACCTGCTCCTTCTTCCTCCATTTGTGGCCAAATATCAGAAATTCATCACTGACTACTTCCTTTTTCTTCTTTTCACCTCAAACAGTGACTGAATGCTGCCTTTCTCCTATCGTTAACATCTCCCACCTGCCATTCACTCTACCTTCATCACCTCTGCCTTAATTAAGAATCCTCAGCACTTCACTCTTACAACTGTACCTACTACCTGGGCTTCTCTTAGTCTAGCTCCCTTCTAATTCTTTGTCTATACAAAGGGCACTATGTTCTTTGAAAAGTTCTAACAGCATTCCCTTACTGAAAATCCTTCAATAGCTCAGTGTTCAGGATAAAGACAAATCCCAAACCCAGTAGAAAGCTTCTCATGAGCAGACACTCTTCCATCTGGCACCCTCACCTCTCACTTCTGCATACCAGCCATGCTGGATCCTGGGTCTAGGAATGCAGTCCATCTCCTTTTTGAAACCGGTGCCTTCATCACACTGTTTGCTCTGCCTGGGACAACCTGCATCCACTTAGCTGCCCACCCACCAACCTCTTCTGGCCTGGCTACTTCCAAATACTTTTTTAAAACTCATGTGACCCTCCCCTGATATTCTCCCCACTCCACTTTTCAATTAGGTCTCCCTTGTGAAGACTCCAGATGTACCCCAGGATTACCACCAGCAAAGGATGATCGCACCACAATCTATTCACCTGATTTTTGACTGTATTTTCCACTAGACTATACAGTCTGAGAAGTAAAGCCTAAGTTTAATCTTCATATTCCTGGGATAGAACTAACAGGTGCTCAATAAATGCTTATAGAGAAAGGACTAAAAATCTGCCTCTGAATCAGTGCTCAATACTCTTTCTACTTAGAGAGATGGTACTGGCCAGCAGAAGCCTTACTCTGTATGGTGTGCAGTCCCGCACAAATGACTGTGCAGCTGAAACTGAATGCTGCCTTTCTCATCTCGTTTTTTTCGTAAAATTTGCATGTATCAAGCACCTTTTCTATGCACTGACAACCTGTCATACTCCTTTCTAAGTTTATCCTTTGTACTTTCAATGCCATAGATTATCTCTGAGTGTTCCTTAGGCATTGCTTCCTGTGAAACATCATCATCTTTGTGAGCCAACCCCCTCTTTTAATATCCATTTCAGTAAAATGTGAGTTTATCTCTGGGAGTCAAGGAGGCCACACAACTGCCCACTTTGCTATCTGTATGTGAACTGACAACACATGTACAGTGACCAGTCACTGATGGACTTGGAAGAGACAAATTGGTCACTGATCACTTGCACATTTGAAGAGCTAGCAACTGAGTTTGTACTTTATGCAATTATAGCAAATATATTGTGGTAACTGAAATTTGAACTGTGTTTTGGGGGAACAGGTGTATTTAATTGGACTGTGGTAACTGAAATTCAAGCAATTCATGCGTATCAAAACCATGCACAGCAAGGTCAATCAGTAGTTTAAAGTATAAATTTGGAGCCAGATTTCTAGACATAAATCTCAACTCTACCACTTACTACTTATATGACATTAGGTAACTCATTCGATCTTTCTGGGTTTCAGTTTTTTTTCATCACTAAAAGGGAGATAATAGTACAAACCTCAGAGTTATTATGAGGACTAAATATACATAGAATGTTTCCGAACACTGCAAATGTTTTAGCTATTACTACCATAGCTTCTACTACAAATACTTATATGACATTGTCTATACTCCCATTGTCCAACAAGCTAGCTACTAGGCACATGGGGCTATTCCAATTTAAATTAATTAAAGTTAAATAAAAATTAAAACTTCAGCCGAAACCGGTTTGGCTCAGTGGATAGAGCGTTGACCTGCGGACTGAAAGGTCCCGGGTTCGATTCCGGTCAAGGGCATGTAACGTTGGTTGCGGGCACACCCCCAGTAGGAGATGTGCAGGAGGCAGCTGGTCGATGATTCTCTCTCATCGATGTTTCTAACTCTCTATCCTTCTCCCTTCCTCTCTGTAAAAAATCAATAAAATATATTTTTTTAAAAAAATTAAAACTTCAACTCCTCAGTAATACTAGCTACATTTTAAATCCTCAACAGCTACATTTCCATCTTTACAGAAGTTCTATAGGACAGTCCTATTCTATACTCTTGGAATAGGTAAAAAAAAAAAAAAAATAGAACTGGATATGCAAATTTGATATAAATAATAGTCATCACTTCATCACTTGCTTGAAATCAAGAGAAAATTTTTAAGTTAAAGGCAAATCTGTGAAACACATGTCAGTGAAAATAAAAGAATTTCAATGAAAGGCTTCAGCACTGGTAAATTCTTAATAAAATGGACTAAGTTTCTTATAGTTAACATTATACATTAAAAATTAATTTATAGTGAGAAAAGTTGCCCAAATTTTAAAAACTTTCATTTAAAATAACTCAAGAAAAATGCATATTGATTAATATATGATTATACACAAAATTAAAGCATTAATAATAATCTAAGTAAACTACACTACGGTCATACTCATCAATCCTTCCTTCCTTTCCAAAGAAAAGAAACTAAATATTCTGTAGTAGTTCTATAATTGTTCTTTTGATCCCCCAGTTGCATAGCTTTTGAAGTCTTGGGTAACTATGGCATACCTCTCTAGACGGAGAACATGTTTGCAAGGCTGGAGCCATGCCTCTTTCAGCTGTGCACCCCACACTGGACTGAGCAGGGTTATGTCTACACAACCAGTCTTAAATAAATGTTGGTTAAATTGAATTAGCAAAACTATATCAGAAGATAGTAAACATCAACATCAAGTTGATAAAAATGATTCTGGAAAAAAGGTACTATTATAAAGAATATACTTTAAGAAAAAATTTATACCAGAAAGTCTTGAAAGAGAGTCTTATAAAGAAGTAACCATTTATGCTAAGCAGAACTTCATTCAAAAAGAACAAACTTCAGTAGAAAGTTAGTATGACACATTTCTAAAAAAGGTTTGTGGTTATAAAGGAATAGAAGTAAAATGATTTCCCTTACAAATTTTACACAAGTCCGAAGGGAGAATTTCCTAAACTACTCCTTAAAAGAAAAAAAATATATATGCTAACACACTATGCTAAACCTAACACTTAAAACGGATCTTAATTTTTTCAAAATCTTATAAGTGTCTATTTTCTTTTACTGATAACAATGATATACTTACTATGTCAGCTTGTCCCTACAAATCACCTTCGAAAAGCTAATGAAATAAATCTCACTTTCTTTACAGGTATCATGGTTCATTGACAATTTCTATAGTGAAAACAACGTTCTTCCATGACCTTAATATGTCTAACTATGCTAATATAGAAATAGCTCTAGTAAATGTTTATTTGGATTAAATTCAGAATATATTCATTTCAGCCAAGTTGGTGACATGGTTCCCAGACAAAAACAAGGCAAAATCTCAAGGCAAAATAATAATAACAACAACCAGAGGGAAAAATATTTAAAGCCCCATTAAACTCATAAATATAGGAGGAAATCTAAGTACTCAAATTCTACTACCAATGAAAGCCTACGTCAAATTAGGAATGACACATTTCTATGTCTAGAAGGAAGAAAATACTTTCTTATCAGAGATCCACAGATTTATGAACAGATATTTACAAAAAAATCTCAGTAAACTGTGCTCATGGAAATAAATTAAACCAGAAGTGCAAAAACTAACTTGATATCATAGTTCTGCATTCATAGAATCACTAAAAATTTGATGAGATGGTTCTTAATTTCTTTAGTTACTCTTAACCCTATTATGGGAAAATCATAGGCTATACTTATTTTAACAAACAAGGAGATTCCTTTGGACATTACTGCTCCTTGTCAAGTGTTTACCATATGCATGAAAGAGTATAATTTATTTTTAAGTCACCAATATTAAAATAGGAATTGATTCATCTGATGAGTTTCTTCCAAATCAGTATTATAAGTACCTGGGAGCTAGTATATCAGAAAAAAGACATAAAGGGAGGTGGATAGATCTCCAAATTCCGCATGTGTCAATTTCTCCTGGCTTACAATTTTTACAAAATGTCTCAGAGTTAGAAACACTCTTAATTATGCAGTTGCCTTAAATTTGTTGTGGAAAAGGGTCAGGTATAAATAAATGACATATAGCATCTATTATTCTAGTAGCTGGTATTATTTGCATTAACAATGGTAGATACTTGAAGATGCTTTTTCAGGTTTTTGATCAATAAGAATCCTGGCTATTGAGTCAGTGCTTTTCTGTCTTTAATTCAAGATGCTATTTTTATAGTCATCTCTTTTATGTTGGCAAATTTTACTTATTAAGAAGTATATTGGCTTGTTTTCAAATTATAATTTCTCATAAATAAAATGCAAAAAAAACCCACCCAGGATATTCATTTTCAATGTTTTTATTCCCCTTTATGTTCATTAAATCATGATTATTTAGAAATAAGTACTAAAATGCAACTTATTGCCTTGTTCTGTGAAACCAAATCCAAGAACTATATTAAAGCTTGTTATAAAGTCCATAAATAGTTTTGGGTAGTAGAACAAAACTTACTGTTTAGAACATTCTCCAGTTTTTGCGTCATGGATCCTTCTACTTTTTCCGTTCCATCCGCTTCTAGTTTTTGATGGATGGCTACAACAAAATGTCTAGTTAAAATTTAGGCTATTTAAATGGATGGGAATACATTACATTGAAATGACATTTATAAACAGCTTTTCAAAATGGTCATACTATTTTCACTGATGGAAAGAAGCACAAATGTGCAAAAACTCTGCATAAACTCAGCAGAGTAACTAAGAGACGCCAGTCTAAATCATGCATAGTTTCATGCTATTAAAATAGTACATTATACACAAAATCATGTGATCCTGAATGTTGAGTGGTAACAACAGTTTAATTACAAAAGAAAAGTAAGACTTAAGTAAATAATATCTTTGATGTTTGGTCATAGGAAAGTTATACGTATTTCTCAGTTCATCATCTGCATGCTATTTTTATAGTGATCTCTTTTATGGCAAATTTTATGTACTTAAGAAGTATACTGGCTTGCTTTCAAATTATGATTTCTCATAAATAAAATGCAAAAAATCCCTGCAATTAGAAATATTACTATTTGAATTATATCACGCTAAAAATATTTAATTTCAGTCTTGGGACATAACATGGTAAAATACATATTATTCATGTACTATTCATACTATAATTATTTCACTGGAAGTTCCAAAGAAATATCTAGTGACATCTACCAAAACATCAATTTGTGGATGTAGAAATTACACTGGAGTTTTTCGCCAATATTCATACATGTATACAGAATTCTTATAAAGATTATCAGGAAATCACTTATATTTTAAAACTGTTTATCCTATTGAAAAGGGGAGGTTTCAAACAGAGCAAATCAAGCTTAGGTGAAGCACTTAGGAAATTTTCAAAACAAAATGACCAAATACAATCTCAAATTCAAAATTGTGACATAATAGACAGAGCAGGGTAACGATTAAAAAACCAGCTCTGAGACTCCGCGGAGTTCTGGAAGGTGGAGCCCTGCGAGTTCCCACAGCCTCCCAGGCTCTTGTTTACACACTTCCTCTTAAATCTGTGAGTTTGATTGTTGACCCCAGTGCATGTGATTGCCCAGTTGGGGTCGCTAGCGGAGCTTGTAGGGGAAGATTGTTTTTGGGGAGCCTGGAAAACAGAGCTGGGAGTGGCGACTGGTGAACCAGCTCTGGGCGGAGCTGGTTCAGGTACAATAGAGAACTCCTGGTCAGAGAGGACTTAAAGCCTTGGAGGTCAATCCAGACACACTGCCACCCAGAGGCAGAGCCACGAACTGACTCTTCTGTACATACAAATACAGCAGTAAGGGGAACCAATACGGCCTGCCTTAAAATCAGGACTGTGGCTTACAACACGGAGGAACAGTGTATCAGAGGGAAATTCAACATTCTCCTGAATTCCGGGCGTGCCAAAAAGAAGAGTAGAAGATCTGAAGCACCTGCATTACTGCACATTTTTATTTTACTTTTTTTTTTTAATTAATTACTTTTTCACCTTTTAACTAAGAAAACATTGTTTTTCTTTTTTTTTT